GGATACAGAGAAAGAATTAGAGAAAGTTGGTCCGTGGCAGGGTGGAGATACTGGACTTGGCTGGGTAAAGGTCTGGCGCCCACCAGCGCTCAGAAAACACGGGTCCAGGTTCTACCATTTACTTGAGAGGTTACCTTGGCCAAGTCACCTTTCCCTCTCTGGACCTCGGTTTCCTCCTCTGTAAAATGAGAAACACAATGGATGGAAGGGACCATCTGTAGTGTTAGGTCATAGTCCAAGTCTCTCATTTCAGAGGAGGAAACTGAGGCTGGAGCATCTGATCAGCGAAATTTCTTCCAGCTTTTTGCTTTGACCTCTATTACCGGGCTGCTGATGGATCAGCTTTTCCCAAATACTCGTAAGCACGCTGGGGACGAGGCAAATGCCCTGGGTTAACCGTCCCTATCACCAGAGAAACCGCCCAAGCCACTTAAGACACCGTACGCCCCGATGCCCAGACTGGGCCGGGATTGGGGGGGCGGGGATGCGGAGGGCAGTAGGAGGCTGCCCCCCAAGACACTTCCGACGGGTTTCTGGGGTCTCCCTCGCTTCAGGTTTAGGGAGGAGGACCAAGCTTTGCACGTTTCCTGATGGGGGCCGCGGGGAAGGAGAGGGGAAAGAAGCTGAGAGAAGTCGGGAGCATTAAGGGAGGGAACAAGGGAGGGAGGCCGGCCCGGTGGCTGGAGGAGGGGCCTCTGGAGGGAGGGGGACAGTGGGGTGCGGCTGGGGGAGGGGGCGGGCCGCGGAGACCGGAGCGAGCCGAGAGGGGAAGGGAGGACTTAGAGACCAAGGAAGAGACAAAAGGACGGGATGGGGGGGAGGTGCATGGAGATGGGGGCGGGGCCTGGAGGCTCACCGGGGTACACCGGGGGGCGGGGCCTGGAGGACACGGGGGTGACCCTTGAGGGGGAGGGGCGTGGATGGCGAGGCAAGGAGTGTTAACAAACTGAGGCTTAAGGAAAGGAGACGCCAGAAGTGGGGAGCCCACGTGGGTATAGACTGTCTGTAAGCAGCAAGGCCTGCGGCACCGGGGTGCGCGCGAGGGGTCAGGCACAGAGCACCAAGCGGGTCCCAGCCCAGGGGGCAGGAGATCAGATGGACACGCGGGGAGGGACTTGGAGCTGCGCGTGGGTGGGGAATTCAAAGGCCACGGAAGGGGGGATCTGATGGGGCAGCCCGCGACGGGGCGGGCCGGGCCCAGCCAGGCTGGGCTGGGTGACAGCTAGGGCAGGAAGCGAGCAGTTCACGAGTGGAGGGGCGCCGGGACCCTCGGAGGAAGAGGAGGGCCAGCTGGGGCGGCCCCAGCTCGGCAGGAAGGCGCCACCACGGTCGCCCTCCCCACGTCCCTAGCGCGCCCCGCCCCGCCCCGTCCGGGGGCCCTAAGGGCAGTGGTCTGGGCCGTAGGGGAGCCGAGCTCGGACGGTACCATTCAGAGCACGGGGGGGGGGGGGGGGGGGGGGGGGGGAAGAGAGGGGGGGAGGCAGGGGTCAGAGCCCGGTTGGGGGCGGGCGGGGGGGGAGCCACACCCTGGGAAAAGGGCTTGGGCACATCCAGAACGGACCAATCAGCGAGCAAGGCCAGGGTGGCGTCAAGGGGCAGCTGCGGCCAATGGGAAGGAAGAACACTTCGGAGGTTCGGAGGAAGAAAAGGAAAAAAAGCCATACATCGAAAAAAAAAAAAAAGGACAACAAAAAACCCACCCAATCCCCCCAAACCCATGAAGGACTCCGATCGGGAGCTGGGAAGTGTAGGCGTCCGTGTCTAGTATAACGAGGCTCACCCGCCCCTTTAGAGCACGGGGTCATCGGCATCCCTGCCTGACCGCAGGGAGCCCCGGGAGCCGAGGAGGGTCCCGGGAAAGTCGATGGGATTGGCCACTCGCTGGGGGGCCCTGGATTGGGCGCGTCGATGGGGTGCGGGGTGGGAGGGGGCCGGACGGGTCGGTCTGGGGACGGAGGAGTCAGGCTGGCGCAGCCCGCGTACTGGAGGGACAGCGGCGGAGGGCACCAGACGGAAGGAGGGAGCGGCGGACCCCGCCCCAAACGGGCTCTAGTCCCCTTTCGGTTAATCTGCTACGTCCAAGCCCAGGGCAGCGGCCCAACGGGGGAGACTTTTTAAAAATCGCTAAACATCGGAGGCTTTGGAATGCAGCACCATATCCTCACCCCCCCCCCCCTTCTTTCGGTGCTTGACCCCAAACTCTTTCCCTTTGCCCATCCTAGCTTGTTTCCAGGGTGAGTTGCCAAGTCTGGTGGAAGTAAGTCCCCATGCTACTTTGTGATATCGTTTGGTTCTTTCGGGGGATATAGAAAGTAATCCGCCCCTCCCAAGCGACTCCTGTCTACGTGCTCTCGTAAATCTACGTGCTCTCCTAAATCCTCCTGAGGGGGTCCACCCAAGGTGCCGGGGGCCTTCCTCCGGCGTTCTTGACCTTGTGTGGCACGTGAAAGGGCTGTCCATTATTTATCCCTCTTTCTCTTTTCCATTACCAGCCCACTTCACTTTCTGGTCTTGCATCTCTGATAACTTTTCTGTAGCTTCTCCTTTCGCATTTCATTGGTAGTGTGTTGCAACTTGCTCTTGTGCCCACTGGGTTCCTCTTCATTATTATCTAGGTGATCCACAAACAACAAGCATATGAAAAATGCCTGTTGTCTAGGCTGTGATATGCACTTGAGTGAAGTCCACACTGCACATGGACAGGACAGGCCCGGAACTAAATAAGAGAAGTGTAGGCTGACTTGCTTTTTGGCAAATTGCAGTATATTTTAATGTTCTCCACCTCCATGTCCATTCACCCTGGTATCGTGAATTAATTCACAGCATCAATCATAGGATGTGAGAGCTAGAAAGGACCTTAGAACACGAAGACAGTCAAGACCTAGGAAAGCCCCTAGAATAGAAAATGTCAGAGCTGGAAGGAAACCTTGCAGAGAATGCCAGAGCAGAAAAGTACCTTAGAGATAATTGATTTCAATCTCTTCATCATACAAATTGGGAAACTAAGGTCTAGAGTTGAAAAGTGACTTGCCCATGGTCACACTAGTAGTAAGTACCAGAAACCTGATTAGAAACTGAGATCCCGACTTCAAATAGTTTCCTTTTCACTACCCTAGGTCAAGGACAACTGAGTCCAGCATCATACAGCACTTCGGAGCATACCATTAAGTCACAACTGGATAAGGGGAGATGCAGCATTGCTTACTGGAGAACAGAACAAGGCTTAAGAATCAGGAAAACCTGGGTTCAAGTCCTATCTCCGACAATACTGTGTGATCCTGGGAAAGTCATTTACCTGTGTCCTAAGCAACCCTCAAACCACAACTTACAGAAGAGCTGCCAATCAGCATCACAGGGTTTCCACACTGTGAATTCCTCATACTGATGGAATCACAGATCTGGACCAAATTAAAAAAAGACATTAACACCCACTGGTTGGTTGGTTGGTTTTGGGGGGAGGCCAGATTGGTGGAAAGGACCAGAAGAGGTGGAGTTGGAATGGCAGAGACCAGGCTGACTACAGTTTGGGGCTGAATTTGCTGTTTGTGCTTTTTCCTTGTATCCCCAGTGCTTAGGACAGTGCCTGAACGCCATAAGTGCTTAATTAATGTTGATGAATGAGAGGTAGGTACTCAGTAGTAAGAGTCTTTTGGAGGAGACTAAATATAGTGATGATTTGTCCCTCACCCTCTTGGAAACAAGGGAGGTTTTGCTATCTGCCTGGAGTTGGCACCAGAAACTGTTTTCTCTGGTCTGGAGCAGGTTTCACCTAGCTGACATTGTGAAATAGTGTGCAATCTAAGAACTGTCCTCACCTCCCTTACTCGTGCATGGGGGCTTCACTATGTGGGAGTCTCTTCATTTGCAGGAGATATAGGTCCTCTTCAGCCAAAGGCCCGTGTGTACCCCTTCCAGGCTGTTCCTCAGCAGCCATTCATAAGAGAACCCTTAACGATGAGAAGACACGAATCTGCTCAGCTTCCAGGCAGCTCATGTTTCTACACCATTGCCAATCCCAAAGCCAAATACAGAAGCATCAATGTAAGGTAAGAAGGAGAGCAGAGCTGTGTGACTCCCCAAACCAAGGGCAGAGAGTATCATAGGATTAAGAGTGCTCCTCCTAGGGGCAAGGAAAGGGATCTGTAAAGTATTCTTTGCCTAGTCAAAGTGGTCCAAAAAAAGGGCAGGTTTTCTCTTGCTTGCCCTGGAGAGAATGCTCCTGGATCACAACGTTCCAGGAACAGCCTCTTCCTTCGGGGTGATCCACTTCACACATTTCCACAAGTGTGGTAGGACTGGACGAGAAAACCCCAAATTCCTCTAAAACCAGACTGGAAAACTTCAGTAGAATGGGAGAAACCAGTGCCAAGTATTAGAACCAGGGTCTAGCCCTGTGCCACTTGGGGCAGATTACCTTCTCTCTGGGTCTGTTTCAGATTCCTACAACATTAGGGATCAAAGTCCTTAGGGATCATCTGACCAGGGGGTGACTTTTTTGCGCTATGGGCCCCTTTAGTATTCTGGTGAAACCTAATGGATCTCTTCTCAGAATGTTTCCAAATGTACAAAATCTATAGGAAACCAGTCATATTGAGATATATTCCCCCCCCATCCATATTCACACAGACCCCAAGTTAGGAACCCCTGATCCAATCAGACCCTGTCATTTTCCAGTGGGGTGCCTAAAATCTAGAGAGGGAAGGGAATTGCCCAAAGTTAGTTAATGGCACAGATAAGCCGTCTGTACTATGGGGATGCTTTTTCTGCTCCCTCTCCCCCAGTAAGAGTCTGAAAGAATGGCTATGAAAATGTCCAGATGGATGGAAAGTATTATTAAATCTGCTTTGCACTCTTGATTTTTCTTGCCCAACTCGGTTCCCATTAGGCCACCTAATGAGCTCCCAGTACACAAGCAGGAGTTGGGAGACCTTCAGCAGATCTGTTTGATGGTAAAGGGAGAAGGGAGGAGCCTGGAGAATGACAAGATACACTGAACTCCATTGATATGGAAGGTTTGCTTTATTTCCAGAAGGAGGGCATCATCACACCCAGGGCACTGTTTCCCAACACCAAGTTCTCCTGGCCCTGGGGCCATCAACAGGACTTAAGGGGCTTTCTTCAGCCTTCTCCTCCTAGGGTGGGCATGCTGCTGTCCTTTCCTCTGCAGGGTTGGAGGGCCCAAGTGGGAAGAAGAGGGCTCAACATCCTTCTCCTTTATGGGCTCAATGATGTGGCCAGGCTTGGTCACCACGCGGGGAGCGGTCAGCTTCTGGAAGGCCCTCGGAGTGTTCCAAGTGGTGCCCACTGGCATCTTGATGGTCTCTTCAAACTGATTCTGGTGGGTGAACGGGAACGGAAGCACATTCACCTGCAGAAGAGGGGAAAAGAGCTCAGGCATGGCACCCAGGGCTCTGGATGGCTCTAGGCTGGGTCAGCAGGGTGTGAAGCTCGAGAGGGAACAGTAGGCATCTGGGCAACACTGTAGGTCATGGAAAGTATAGGCCACAGGGGATGGCCTCACATCAGGATTCTACAGTAGAGAGGCAGTGTGGTGTAATGGAAAGGGCCTTGGATTTAGCAGCAAAGGACCTGGGTTCAAATCCCAGCTTTCCTGCTTATTTGCCTGCATGGTCTGGACAAGTCCTTTCTTTGGACTTCAGTTTCTTCATCTGTAAAATGAAGTGTTGGATTTTCAATCTATGATCTTGTGAGTGACTGGCACACAGAACATTAGCTTCAAAGTCAGAAGACCTGGGTTCCAATCTTGGCTCTGACACTAGGTGTGGGCCCTTGTGAACACTCAACTCCTATGCAACCTCTTGTAGGAGCCTTCTTGGGTGCCTCTGACAGGTAGGGAGTCGACTCCCTCTTAGTCCTGACATAGCACTTTGTTTAGGTTTCCCTAAAGTGTGCCCGGGGAAGACCAAAGTGGGGGGGGGGAGGAGGGAGGGAGGTCCAATTTATACTTTTTATCCAGGTCAAGATATAAAGACCCAATCCCAAAGTACACATGAACTTTCATACTTAAGGAATCAGCAGGGACTTTCCACCTTGAAAAATAATTGACTGCTTTGAGGGGTGTGCACCTCTGGCTTATGAACAGAACGAAAACAACGATTTTCTCCTTCTACTGATTAGCTACACTCCTTGGGCTCAGACTAACTCTTGCCATAAAGCAGAGTTTGTAGCGATTACTCTTCCACGGATTCTCTCCACTTGGTCTGTGAACAGCTTCCATATCTGGGATTCCTAGATTTACAGAGCTGGAAGGGCCTTTAGAGGTTATCTAGTGACCCTGTCCTCCCCCACCCCATTCAATCCTTGGTATGGCGATCAAAGCCTCTCTCAGATTTTCCCAGGCCTCTTACACCTGACACCATCCCCCGCCTACTCACCCATCTAGCTGCTCTGTGAACAAGACATTGGGTCTGACAGCATTTTCCCTGGCTGCTCGGGGGCACCCCCCCACCCTCCTCATCTCACCTCCTGGCTTCCTTCAAATACCAGCTAAAATTCCACCTTCCTAGTCCCCTTAACTTTGGGGCCTTCCCTCTGAGATTCTCTCCACTCTCTCTCATCTGTGTGCATCTGTACACAGATGTTGGCATGCTGTCTCCTCCATTAGACTCCGAGCTCCCTGAAGATAGGGAAGACTGTCCTTGACGGTTCTTTTTATTCCCAGCACTTAGCATGGTGCCTGGCACGGACACACCCAGATACTCTGACCACAACCCCTGGGAGGCAGGTACTGTACAAAATGTTGGGGCTCACAGAGCTACTATGTGCCAGAGGCAGGATTTGAACCCAGGTCTCTGCTCCCTCCAAGCCCTATGTTCTCTGGACTGTACGCTGCTGGCTAGCACACTCCCTATGGCACCGTGCTGTACGGCGGGGGTAGAACTATTCGGATCCACTTGCCCGTGAGGCAGCCAAGGCTTCTGTGACAGGCATAGGACAGTGGCCTGTACCAAAGCCACCTCCCTACCTGGTGGGCCACGGCCTGGATGTTCCGCTTCTCGCTGATGACCACATTTGGCAAATGCTTGTCTTTCCTGGGAGCAGCTTTAGGGGCTTTGATGAGAAACCTGAGCAGCAGAAAACAAGACGGCTGGTATAAGCACCTGAGCCAGCACAGCTCAGGTAGGGCTCAGAGGCTACTGAGAAGTGAAAGAGGATTCAGTTCCTTTTGGCTGCAGAACCCTCTCCCTTCTGAGGCTCAGTAGCCCTACCTGGAAAATGGGCAGAAGAACAATTAACTGTATTCCCTCCCTTCCACAGCTGCTGTGAGGATTTTAAAGGGCTCCAGAAATGTAGATAAATCATCTGGGGCTTACCGGCGTCTCTTCCTGGCACTGATCACCAGGCCCGGACCACCCCACTGTCCCCAGCCTGGCAGGCTCAGGTCAATATCTTTTGGCGTGCTTGCTTTCTCAGCTTCACGTTTCTCCTTCTGGAAGTCAGCGATGACATCGTCCCCAGCGAAGGCCTCCTTTATTATCTGCTTTTGGGTTACCTCTTTGTCACAGTCCTGGGAGGAGACCAGAGCAAGAAGCAGATGGGAATGCAGGTTGCCAACTGCTAAGCAGCATGGACCGCCTGGGGTGCCAGGTTGTGACACTGCAGCGCCCCCTGGGGGAAGCACTGCACAATGTCCTGTGTGCAAACTGGGCGGAGGCTAGGGAGAAAGTAGATGCAGGGCCCTACACTCCAGGGGAGTCCTCCTGGCGAGGATCCACTTTGCCTCCTTGCCTTGAGTAGGATCAAAACCCTAGAGTTGGCCAGAGGCTTCCAACACTAATCCATACACTTTGGAGTGCTCAGGCCCAGGCCCTGGCCAAGGCTTCCCGGCCCGTGCTCCAATTCACTCTGCATTGGAATCACTCCATTGTCTAAAGGAGGCTTCTGCAATACACTAGCTCAACCCAGAAATCAGAGGAGTCCTAGCTTTCTATGCACGCTGCTGCCCATACTTTCGAGCCTCTGGCAACACTCAAATGTCCCAGGTTTTGGAGGGAGGGGAGCCATCCAGGCCAAACGCTTCCTCTGACACCCAGGCAAATCCCAAGGTCACCCAGCAGGGAGTAGGAAGCAGTGAAGATATAAAGCTGGGAGACAGGATTGTAGATCTTGACAGGCTGGAACACTGGGCTGGACGACTCCATGTGGCCACAGCCTACCTTCCTTTTCAGACTTCAAACCAACCAAGCGGGCCTGGTCGCTGTTTTCTGACTTTGGCGTTCCACTTCCTATCTCCATGTCTTTGTACTGGTTGCCCCCCTAAGCCTGGAATGCCTTCCAGTCACCTCTGCCTCTTAGAATCCCTGCTTTCCTGCAGGGGGAGGCTCAGGTACCATCTCACTTCCTCTTCCTCCAAAGACTGCACTCGCACTTAGCTTTTCGTTTTATCCCCTAGGCCAGGGGTTCTTAACCTTTTCTTTGTCATGGACCCCTAGGGCAGCTTGGTGAAGCCTATGGAAGGGCCCCTACTCAGAATCGTGTTTTTAAATGCATAAAATAAAATATAGATTACAAAGGAAAACAATTACATTGAAATAGTTATCAACATGTTAGAAAAAAATAAATAAGTTCCTAGTGTCCAGCTCCTGCTTAAAAAAAAAAAAGCTCCTGCCCCTAGTAGAATGTAAGCTCCCTGAGGGTACAGATCATTTTTCCCATGTTGTCTTTAGATTCTCAGTGCTTACAGGGTACAGAGCTTAGCACAGAGGAGGCATGTGATAAATGCTGGGTGGATTGGATTAGCAGAGCTCACATGAAGCCAGGTTTTGGAATCTGCCTCGGCCCCCCCCCCCCCCCCCCAGAGCTAAGAGGAGGAGCGCTCTGCTTGGCCAGGCTGGCCTCCAATCACTGCTACTGGTACTGTCTTGAGGGGATCTGAGGATCAGCCAGGCCTCTAAACACCACCACTGCCCAGCCCCCCAGCAGCCCAGACAGGAGAGAAGGGACGGCTGCAACAGCAATGCTAGGGCTACTGTACTGGCGCGCCGGTACCCTCTCCTCCTATAAGGAGCATGCTACCAGAGTCATACTCACTTCCGAGTCTTCGGTCCTCAACCGGATAAACACACAGAGATGAGCCATCGGAAGGCGCCAACACCAGAGCTTTATTCAGAAGCCATCACAGCAAGCCATCATAGCAAGCCCAAGCAGCAAGGCCAGAGCAACAGAACAGGAGCCAGGAGAGAGAGCGCGTGATCTGACCACGCTTGTTCCTAAATACCTACCTAGCCCCTCCTCCCCAGCCCGCTTACTAGCCAATGATTATAGGGTCAGATACCGGAAGGGGCTGTCTGAGTTTAGCACACCAAGGGGGAGGGAGTGACGTAGGAGGCTAGGACCGGATACAGGGAGGAGGCATCTGGGATTAGCGCATAGACAGAGTACGTGACCTAGGAAGTCAGACTCAGACACTGGGAGGAGGGGTCTAGGGTCAGTGCTGCACAAAGGGACCCAGGAAGTCAGGAAGGTCACAAGAGGCATCTGGGGATGACGTTGCATATAGGGAGGGGACTAAGCAAAGGGAACTCAGTCCTCTGCCGTCCCACTCCCACGTGGCACCGCCCCTTGCCTCAGGAGCTCAAGCTCTGGCTACTTCCTTGCACCCAGCTTATCTCACATAGCACTGCCCACTGCCTCAGGGCTTCTCCGTATCCAGCCCATCCCAGTTCACCACGACTCTGCCTACCACAGCCCCTGCCTCAACTTCCAAAATACCCAGATCTTACCCTACTCTTGCCACAGTGCCCAACCTGGTAGCTGCCAACATCAGACAGTCCCTTACAGGCTACAGTAAAAGGATGCACCCAGAACAGAATCATAGCTGTTCCCTACACCTACCACCTGAGTGACCCTGGGCAAGTCACTAGTTGGCTTCTCTGAAAAAGAACATTGCACTAGTTTGAGCTCTGGGCTCCCTTCCAATACCAAATCTCCAATTCAATAACCAGCTTGGGTTAGAGGGCATCGGTCAAGCCACAGACCCATTGAATTTGAAGGAAGGGTTTGGGATGCCACAGTTCCTCCCAAGGTCTCCATAAAGTCTCTGCCATCCCTAAGCCTTAGATGAGGCTGAGCAGCCAGCAGTTTTCTCCCCATGAGGGCCCTGGGCCCAGCCCCACTCACCTCCTCGTCTACAATGGTGGGGACTGATAAACCGAAGTTTGCCTTGTGGGTCTTCCCAGTGATGATGGTATGCAGATCAATCATGGGCTCCTGTTCCATCTTGGGAGGACTCCTTTGCTCAGCCAGGTTATGCTGCCGCTGCGGCTGCTGCTGCCACCGCCTTTTCACTCCAGGCCTAAGCTGTTTCTGCTCTTGGCTAACTTCTTCCATGCCCAGAGTCTCTATGTCCTCCATGGTCTGTACTCTCTCTGGCCTCTCATCTAGCAAGGACTGCTCCTCTCTCTGGATGCTTGGCTCCTTGGGGGCAGCTGGAGCTGGGCTCACATGCTGTTCTCCATCTTGCCTCATTTTGTTGGCCTTCTTGTTTATATGCTTAGAGAGTGTCCTCAGTTCAGCTAACACCTCCTCGTCCTCCTCCGTCCTCCTGGGTGCTAGAAAAAGAAAATCAGCTATTAGGGGAGGGACACAGAAGGTGCCTCATCATTGAACAATTGCTAACCACCCATGGGTGATGGGTCTTCTGTGAAAGACACTTCCGGGACGAATGGGGGAGTATCCATATGCTGGACTTTGGGGACAGTTTGCAAACCACTGCCTGTCAAGTAGGAGGCAGACGGGCCTTGTAGTAAAGCACTGTAGCTTCCCCCTGGGTTCTATTCTTAGCTTCACCAATGACTCGCTGGATAATTAGGCAGGGAAACCTGCTGCCGTGGAGGACCCAGGGGTCAAAAAATCGGGGGTCTCTGAATAGCAGGTCATTTTAACTTATGCTCTACTGTTTACAAAACCAACAGAACCAATACTGTTCACTTCAAAATTGGAATCATTCCAGATAAACTAGAGGCAGAATTTTCCACAATGGCTGCAGACAGTTTACTCTGTCTAGTTACTAGTGGCACCCTAGTTTCAGAGCTGGAAGGCACCCCAGAGGCCACCGAGCCCAACACCTCATATTAGAAGATGGAAAGCGAGGGAAAGGGGTTTGCCCAAGATCCCCCAAGACGGATGCGAGGGAGAGTTGGAAGGGACCATCTAGGCCAACCTTTGATTTTGGGAATGAGGAAACTAGGAGCTGTTAGGCCTTGTCTTTTGGACATCCATCCATCCATCCATCCATCCATCCATCCATCCATCCATCCATCCATCATTCACTTTGATCAGAAGGAACAATTACTTTTCTTTTAGCAGGTAATAATAACAGTGAATATTTACATAGCATTTTAAGGTTTACCAAGTAAGTGCTTAATGTTATCTTGTGTGATCTTCACAACCACCTTGGGAGGTGGATGCTATCATTATCCCCATTTTACAGATGAGGAAACTGAGGCTGTGACAGGTAAAGTGACTTGTCCAAGGTCACAGGGCTGGGAAGTAGCTGAGGCAGGATTTCCTAACCCCAAGTCCAAACAATCTACCTCCAAGGCCACCATGCTGCCTCAGAGTTGGAAGGAACTCGGAGACCATAGAGTGCGTGAATGAGAACTCCTTCTACAACATCTGGACAAGCGCTTCCCCAGCCATTGCTTTCAGGCCACCAGTGAAATGTGCCGCCTCCTCAGCTTATCAGTTCCTTCTGCTCCAGACAGCTCTAATTGCCAGGAAGAAAGCAGGTGCCTGCTTTCAGAAGGCTAGCCCTCTGAGTTCTATTTCATTTCTGTCGGAGACAATGCAGCTCCCCAGTCTCTATCTCAGAACCCAAGACCTGACGTTCAGTTAGAGGAGAATGTTTTTTAAATCAAGTTTTACAGATGCCTTTTAGCATCATAATCATTTCTGGATTAAATACAATCCACCACCACCGACGCAAGCCTTCCCTTGCAACAAGGAAAACAGGTAAGTGAAACCAACTACAGAACATCGGTGTCTCACACATAGCAAAGGCAAGATTCTGTGCCCATGGTCTCTCCCCTTTGCAAGGACCAGGGGAAGAAGTACTTCCTCACCTCTGCCCTGGGGCCAAGACCAGCCATTATAGCAACATGGTATTCTAGGGGAGCAGTTTTTAAGAAGCCTCAGGGGAAGGGGACCTTAAGTGGCCTTGGGTCACACACCAGGCTTCCTGGCACTCCAAACCTGTAGTACTGATGCCCTCATTTCCCTTTAAAATCACATGGCTCAGTGCAAGCCCAAAAGCAGACAACTGTGGCTAAGAAGGGGCTTCTGCCCAATGAAGGTCCTGCCATGCATTCTGTTTTTTTGTTTTTATTTTTGTTTTTATTTTTTTTTTAAATGAGGCAATTGGGGTTAAGTGACTTGGCTAGGGTAACACAGCTAGTAAATATCATGTGTCTGAGGCCACATTTGAACTCAGGTCCTCCTGACTTCAGGGCCGGTGCTCTATTCACTGCGCCACCTAGCTGCCCCACCATGCATTCCGAATGAGAGCTGACGCTTTTTTATTCATCAAATGGGTGCATGGTGCACAGGGACAGATTTGGACTTGATGCCAGCAAAGACCCAGGGGTCAGAGTTGGCCCAAATAGAAGGGGCTGGTAACCTCAGGACTCAGCAGGTTTCTCCTTCTGGGAGGGCTGAAAAGAAAGGCTGGGGAAGGGCACTGGAGGGACTGTTTCAGTGATACAACCTGCCACATAAAGTCAGCACAGCGCCCACCTCTAAAGGGCTCTCCATAAGGTTTTACATGTTGCTGCCCCTTGTGACATCAATGCTGTGAGGCAAGCTTTACTGCCCCCATTTTACAGAAGAGGATACTGAGCCTGTTCTTTAGGAAGTGAAGGATTTCTCCCCCACAAGCAAGACCACATAGAAATGATTCTCATGGCACCAGAGAATTCTCAGGGCAGCTTACCTTTTGTTCTGTGTCCTTGCTTCTGTGACCCCTGGTTGACCTCTGACCCTTTCCGAAGGGACCGCCTCTCTTCCACCTCCTGCAGCAAAGCATCGTCCTCTGCCCCGGCCTTTTCTTCCTCCTCAGGCTCAGACTCTTCTCTGGCAACAGGTTTCTTCTGGATGTGAGAGGCCTGGGTGTTGACCCCACGATTCTTCTGCATCCAGGGGTTTGGTCCATTGATGCTCATCTGCGCTTCATTCACAACGTCAGGGATGAGCGCGCTGTCTTCTTCAGCATCTTCATCGTGCTCACTGTCAGAGGGCGCCTGAAGTTTCTGGGTCAGCTCTCTGTTCTTGGTCAACTGTTGCTGCATTGCCTTACGGGCCTGCGGGAGACACGGCAAGAGAGAGAACCTCAATCCTAGGGTTCCCAGCCCCATCTGGACCACTGCTCAAGTCACCAGCCTCAGAAACCCAATCGTGCTGAGATATCACGGACCCAGAGTCAGGAAGGGCTGGGTTGGAACACTTCTGCCCGAGACTACAAGCTGTATGACCCTGGGCAAGTCACTTCACTTCTGTCTGCCTCTGTCTCCTCACCGATAAACTGGAGATAATAAGGCCTTAGCACTTACCTCCCAGGAGAGCTCAAATGAATGAATGTAAGTGTGTAAAACACTCTGCGAACTCTAAAGAGCTGCCAGAAATACCAGATATTATGAGAGCTACAAAAGTAGTAGCAGACATGGTCCTTGCAGCTGCAGGGCTGGAAGGGACCTCAGAGGTCAGCTAATCTAATCCCCTCATTTTTTCAGAGTGGGACAGACTCTGGGAGATAGTAGAGGATAGAAGGGCTACAGTCCATGGGGTCACAAAGACAACTGGGAGGGGACGTGAGCAGAATCCTAACTCTAGAGCTGGCAGGGCCTTCAGAAGCTCCTCTGGAGTTTCCAAGAAACGAAATCAGCCGCTTCACCTACTCCAGCTGACGATACCTTAGCAGCCACCATCCCTGCCCCTCTAGATCCTGCTCATCATTCCCCTCACCCCCAGTGCCCACACCATCTTCCTGGTCACCCTGATGCTTACTTACCTCCAGGTCATACTTGGCCATAATAGCCTTTGACTTGGCCCATTTCCCACTGTTCTGGTGCTTGAGGCTCATTCGCTCCTGAGAGAAAGGATAGAGAATGATGTCTATGTGCTTTGGGGTAAGTATGCTGGGCCCCAAGAGCAGGAGAAGATGAGAAGCCTACCTCCATCCTGGCCTTTTCCATTTTTTCCAGCTCTTCCAAGGCTGCGGTGGGATTGACCTTCCGCAACTCTTCAAACTGCCTGAGAACCTCCTTGGCCTTTCTTTTCTTGAGCACTTTCTGAAACCTGGGGGAGGAGAGCCACAAAAGGAAGGAGTCACTGTGATGGTGAAGTGGGGCCACATCCCAAGAGCCAGCTTTGGGTACTGCCCCCCTTCTGAAGAGGATCGTGGTCCCTTTATCCTACTGCTGGCAGCCCTCCAAGCTCCCAGGGTTGCCCTGCAGGAGGGTGCTGGTGGGAGGTGGGGATAGAATGTAGGGGCGGCCCATTGCTTCTAGAAAACTGAGAAAGAGCCAACCCCTGGAGGGCTTTAAGGTAGTGGACTGAGAAATCCTACCAGCCTATGACACATCGCTCGCCCCTCCCAGATAAAACCAGAGAAGGTGCTTTTTAAGGAAAAAAAAACAAAAAACCGATAATGGTTATTTGGTCTGGGCAGTTCAAGAGGAGTATCACCTGGCTGGAGAATCCCCTGCCCATCCACATGGTCCCTTCTGCCACAGGCCTGAGTTTGGCGCCAGAGAACTCGGTGTTGCTTTCAGTTTGTTTATAAACTACTGCCAGTGGGATACTGGCCAAGTGCTTTCCCTCTCTGGGCTCTCAGTCTCCTCTTCTCAAGAGTGAGGGGGGTTGGATTAAGATGATCTCCAAGGTTCTTTCTAGTTCTAAATAGTGAGATCCAAAAGATCACTGAGCCCAACCCCCTCATCTTCCAGACAAGGAAACTGAGGCGCACAGAGAGGAAACAATTTGCCCACACACATGCAGAAGCTGGAATTGAACCCAGGTCCCCTGCCTCCAAAGCCAGTGCTTCTGCTGCTGCATAGCGCTGCCCCTGGCCAGAGGCAGCACTTTCCCTGAGGGGTTTACGGCAAGACATAAACCAAGCTGTTTCCCCTCTATGGAAAAACTCCAAACACCCTAAGCTCCCCGGGACCTTGTCTTACTTTTTGCTTTTGATTTTCTTCTCTCTTCGAGCCTTGGCCTCATAGTAGGACTGCAGGGCCCGGGCTTTCTGGAGCTCTGCTCGGCGCTGCTTGGCCTACAATGAAGGACAGGAATGGTGAGCCGAGGGCTGCTGGGCAGCTCAGGGAAAAGCAGGCATGCTGGACATGCCTGCCAAGGAGCGGGAAGGAAACTAGGGAGGGGCACACGGCAGCCAGGCACTAACCTCCTCCAGGCTCATGGCTTTCAGGGAGGCCTTTTCCACAGGCGTCAATAAAGGGTCGGTCAGAGGCTGCTTGTTCTTGTGGAGGAGGTTAAAAACTTCCTGTTCCAGGGGAGTTCTTGCCTTCACAACACAAGAGAACACAGGAAATATGAGCAAGGTGCCCATACCTTTCCTTCCTACCTCTACCTGCTCCACACCACTGGAGAAGAGATAGGAAGCTAGCCAAGGCTGGCTGCCCTGGGCCAAAGGTGGGCAGCAGAAGCTGTAAAACAGCCCTGGGGGGGGGGGGGGTCTCCTCATTCCAATCTGCAGCCTCAGGGGCCAGGGCTGCTAATGACCCAGGAAACCACAGAGCCACCATCAAGGAGTGAATTTAGCCAACTTCCTCCAACACCACACATGCCTCACAGTTCTAAAGCGATTTAAGGCTTAGCAAAAAGCTTTCCTCGCAGTATCTGAATAGGGAAAAGGGTCCCGAATTCGGAGTCAAGAACATCTGGGTTCAAATCCTGACTCTGGGCAAGTCACTGTTCTCTTGGCTTCCCTTGCTTTTCTGCTCCATAAAACAAGTGGGCTGGACTAGCTGGTCTCCAAGGGTCCTCAGCTCTAAAACAGATGCTCTGGTGAGATTTTCAGAAGAGAAAACTCAGGTCCAGAGAGCCTCACAGCTAGTTTAAGTGTCAAGAGGTTAAACAGAAGTCTCCTGATCTTGCCCAGACTGGGCTCCTGCCATGGCTTCTCACCTGCCTCTTGCTCTAACAGAGAGATGATTCCTCTCAATACATAAACCCACTGCAAAATGCTCTCTATGGCCCAGAGCAAGACCTCTCCCTGCCCCCCAACTGTTCTATGTTTCAGATCAGATCTTCCCCTTTAAATTTACTTTCTAGAGGGATGGTAAGGTTAGATTTTAAGATCAGCATTCTTTACAGCTGATGGTAAAGCAGGGAAGAAAATCTGGCTAACAGCTTCGAGGCAAAACCCATTAACAAAACTTCAGAACAGCCAGCTGCTACCAATCATGTGGACATATGTGCGTGATGGACTATTGTCACTCCCCAGCTTTGTACTGTTCACTTGTGATGGGATCAAACGAGAAAAACAAGGCATTTTTAGGCACCACTCTCTGGACGGCTGTGTTCTAGTGGGTTGTTTTTTCTTTTTTAAATTTCCTGAGCACAAAAGGACGTTGCCTGAACAAAAATATAACCTTTGAGTAATTAGCCTGTTTCCTGACAGTTCAAATTTAACCCCAGTCATTTCCTCACTTTGCCTGTAATTCCCTAAACTCCGCAGTGCATTTCCCACCATGACTTGGTTCTGTACATAGGAAACATATGGGCTGCAGTACCAGGAGCTGGACTGGAAGACCTCGAAGGTCCCTTCCAGTTCCAACTCCTAGGACCATCAGAGTCAATCCATCTGCCTTTCTCTTGCAGCAGCAGCTAGGAAAAATGGCCACTGATTCACGAGGCTCAGTGGGCTGGCTGCAGTCCTAAATCCTCAGATATATAGCCTCTTCCCCTTTAATCACACAGCTTTCCTTCGTGGGAAGAGCTGGCCACGATCATGATAAAAACAATAAATGACGAGGCAAATTTGGAAACAAGGTTTCTTCGTCATCTACCTAGAAAACGTAATTTTCGAAGACTAAAGGTGCATGGATGGCAGGGCCAAATCTTTGATGTCAAAGCTCTACAAATAGAACTGTTCCAGACACAGCTCACAATCTGCTACCCCTGCCTACCTAGAGACAGCCCTTGGGAGTTACTAGGACCCAAAGAATTCTTCACCTCTTCTGCACTTAGCTAGGCTGGGCTTCACTTCATGACACACAGTTCATCCGTGGGCCCGTGCTTTTAGCATGAGAGGATCTGTAAGGGCTTGTATTGTGCTGGCATGGCCAACAACACATTTCTTAAATAACCCCGTGTGGAAGGCAGGGAAAAGAGGCCAGATTTTGATTGAGACAACCTGGGCTCCCATCCCAGCCATCACTTACGGTCTGGGTGATCTCTTTAGCCCCCTGGCCTCAGGTCCCTTTCAGCTCTGAGGCAAAGACTATAAAGAGGAGGGTTTATTCCTTTGTAAAAGGAGAGAGCTGGATTAGATGGCCTCTGAGATCCTTCCTGGTCCTATGACTTACTCAAGAACCCCTCCACACTGTGGCTGTGGAGTCACAACAAATGAAAAGCTACAAAAAGGTTTCTATCATCTCCCCATATTTTCAGCTTAAAAAAAAAGAAAGAAAGAAAGAAAGAAAAGTTAACTAAAATTCGAGGAAATAGGACCAAAGCAATAGCATACAACTTAAAAGATTGACGGCCCTCTGAGAACTGTTCAGTGTCAGTCCTGTGCCTTTCGTCTGACCAGCTACAATGAAGAGATCAAGAGTTGTCACTCTATTAGTGTCTAAGAAAGGAAGCTCGGAGGTCACCCTGGTGGCCTAAACCAGTGATGTCAAACTCAAATAGAAATAGGCACCACTAAACTGTCCAGAAAGATCCCTGTGGGCCGCATATTGATTTAATTTTAAAATGTCATGTTATTTCTGTTTGACTAGATCTTTATTTATTTTGCTGAATATTTCCCCATTACATTTTAATCTAGTTTGGCAGCACTAACACGTGTGTGTTCAGATACCTCTGGCCTAAACCATCCTGTAGGTAAAGTGCTCTAGGTTTGGGGGGGAAAAAAAAAGGAAAAACAACAAAACAAAACAAATAACAAAATCAAACCCACAAAACCTCCAAGCCAAATAGGAATGCCTGTTATTATTCTCTTTTTTTCTAACTTGTCACAATTTCACCTCCTGAAAATGAATTTTAAGGCTCGAATGCTTTCATGGCTTGTGCGGGCCACCTCCAGTAGCCAGGCACCATGTAAGTTTCTGGAGCCCATGTTGTGTGCAGAGTAAGTAAGAGCACACATTCCGTGGACAGTCACCTTTCTCTGTTGTGTAACATCCTCATCCTCTTACCAAGGGAGGACTGCAAAATGTTGATTTGTTGATTATTCCCCTTTGGCTGTGACATGTTAACAAGAGGGTTAATGCAATGAGCTGTTTTATGTTTTCTTCTCTATGCCAGCCATTCAATGTACATTTGCAGATGCTCTAGGCACCCCACCCTCGATTCCATGCCTCTGATTGACTAAGAACTAGCTGCTCTGCAGTTCACCATGGTCCACAGCCTTAAAGAGCTACCCTGTCAGTTTTAGTCATTTCCACCAGGTGTTCCATTGGAGAATACTTCTTTCTTTCACCAGAGGCAGCATATTGCCTCTAACACTCTCCAGCTGAGGACACTTAACCTTTCTAAGCCTCAGTTTCTTCCTCGGTAAGATAGGGACAGCAATGTCTCTGGGACCTGCCTCCTGGGGTCATTGGGAGACTCAAAAGACCTAATACATGTAAAGTGTTTTGCAAACTAAAACCCTCTAGAAATATCACTTATTACTGCTACTTCTTGGCTGTTCTGTGAGCAACCTTTGGGCTCTGATATGGACATGCCGCAGAGGCAGACTTCGGAATAAGGAATCCCTGCTTCCTAAGATCGCTCTGAATGTGACTGAATTTCTCTGCCCTTAAGATACCAGAATTAAAAAAAGAAAATCATATCCCCAGTGCTGGACCTGCAGGAGACCAGAGGTGTTAAATCTGTCACCCAAACAACTGGGATCAGATTAAAATATCATTGGGAAATGTTTAACAAAACAGATAAAAATACAAAGCGACATAGGTAATGTTAACTTGTGGTTTTTGAAGGCAGGTATCTGCAGAGAAGCACCGGGAAAAATGATGCTATGTGCATAGAAAGTATGGAAAGGCATCACTAAACCTTTCCCTGTCTAGTTCTGGCATCTGTAACATGAAGAGGATCAGTCTAGACTCTGATCAAAGTTATCTTCAACGGCTGCCATATTAGTGACAGAACAGAGATGATAACATGGCCCCCACATTCCTCATGGACACAATTCAATGCATTGGAGGACTGAGCTCACATTGTGGGGGGGTGGGGGGGGAGTGGTGATGTTGGAAGGGCCAGATAAGGTAATGGGTGCAAAGCACTCTGGAATGCTAGAGAAACGGCAGCTATTACTGTTACTTCTCTACAATGGGATTTTGGCCATGAGGCACCCACCACAGCCATCTGGAGCCTTGGCACCTCCTTCCCGTGATGGAAGCTTGGTCCCTCCTTGTACCAAACGTACCTTCCAGGCCCCGAGCACCTCCTCGATAGGGGCATCTAGTACTTGCTCCTGCTCCAGAGGAAACACTAGCTGGGCTGCCCTCCGGTTCTTCAAGACTACTGGGTCCCACTTGTCCATGTCTTGGGAGGTTTTGTTGTAGGCAGCTTCCCTGTGGATCTGAAAGATGCAAAGGCAGCCAAGTGCCCAGAGTTCAATGTCAAAAGTCTTTTTGGATCTGATTAGAGACTCAGAAGGGCAGGAGTCGGCTTTTATCATGTGACCAGGACTCCGGCTTCCCCTGAGATCCTGAATGTCCAACACGTTGCACATGAGCCAGATGCCACATTTTTTTACTTAAATAGCCAGACTGTCTGTGTGTTGTACTGATGTCCACAAAATGCTCTAAGACCCAGATGAAGGATTCTAGGAGCCCTAGATGATCCTTCCTGAAGGATATATGGAAATCACAGGACAACATGTACACAGAATGAGGGGCCAGAGATGAGCTGCAATCTGAACTGGCAAAATATCCACACCAATGAGGATCACTGATCCAATGAGTTACTATTGGCCACCTCAAGTTCTGGGGTGGGGGGGCCAGGTTCTCTGGGTAATGTCTGATTCGGACCGGCTCTATGAAAGCATCCTCTTCCTAATGAAACTGCTGAAGCAGGGGCTGAGAACCACCACACCCAGATGGAGAAATAGAAATGGAGCTGGAATTGAGATGTACCCTAAATCTACCCCAGTTGACAAGAGGCACCCAGCCTGTTCGGTAACCCAATTCCCAATGATTCCATCAAAACTGATCCACCTTTAGTACAAGGCCTCGAACTGTGCAATTATGAAACTGACTTTTTTGAATTACTTTTGTTTTACTGGCCAACCCTATTTTTCAGTGGTTTAACTTATAAAATCTAGGCAAACCTCCATGCAAAAGGATTTCCGATCACATGGCCCATTCAATATGGAAAACAACGGAATGCCCTGACCTGGATTCTTCTTAGTGTTTTTTATTACAAGGGGATTCTATAGGTTTGGGCCTTTGCTATTTCTATCAAATTAGCCCATCCTGCCATCCCAATTCTTTCCTCTCTCTGTGTCGGGTAACTTCCAGATCACTCACCCGTTCATTCTCCTCTTTGCTAAGGGGTAACTCCACAGTCTTCTTTTTTCTGACCTTCTTCAGCTGGTTCTTCACGGTGCCCAGCGAGGAGGAAGGCTTGACGGGTGCCAGCAGCTCTGCCAGTTCCAGCTTCTCCCCTGTCCCTGTACAAGCAGCAAACTTCTTAGAACAGGTCGGGGGGGAGGAAGCGAGGGGTGAAGGAGACTGCTCCTGGGACCATGCAGTAGGGGAGGCTGGGGCAAACTCACTCCCCAGAAAGTGGGGAAAGTGCTTAGCACAGTGCCTGGCACATAGCAAGTACTCCCTCCCATCCTTTTCACCATAAACCCTCGACAGACTAAAAGCATTGCTTTTCCAAATACACTGAACAAACTGATACAAACACATGCCCATTTTAACACCTAATTAAATGTCCTTAGGCATTAGGTTTGCCCCTAATGAGGAAATCCAGTGAGGAAACAAAAGTAGTACTAGCTATTACTCACCTGTCCCAAACTGTTCTTTACTCTGGGTAAATAAATATAGAGCTATTGAAGAGGCAGGCCCAGCCACATAGCCTAGGGTGAGATATGGGGGGGGGGGGGGGGGAAGGTCCAACCCATACCCCAAATCCATCACTTTTAACTTAGAAGCCAGTGATTGATGGGTGACTCTGAAAGGCAGTGGGGAGTAGAGGGAAAATATTAGTGAACTACAGATCTGAGGCAGTTGGGTGGCACAGTGCATAGAGGGCGGAGCCTGGAGTCAGGAAGACCCGAGTTCAAACCTGGTTGCAGACACTTACTAGCTGTGTGACTTTGGGCAAGTCACTTCACCTATCTGCCTCAGTTTCCTCAGCTATAAGATATGGATAACAACAGCAGCTACCTCCAAAGGTTGTCCTTGTGAGGATCAAATGAGATAACATGCAAAGTGCCTTGCAAACCCTATAGTGCTTTAATGTAACTGCTGACTGTTTATTATTGTTAGCAGTGGCTATCTTATCTCCCTACAGTTACTTTGTCTCCCTCACTCTCCAGGTGTCCTTTCAGGGCTTCTCATCTCACTGTCTGCCCCCAAATCTCTGAAGGAAACCTTGTTCCTGGCATAAAGCAGCCGGCGAAAAGCAAGAACGTGGAAGTGCTTGCTGCCCACCTCCATGCTCAACACAAGGGCTAACGGTGAGTAACTAACCAGAGCTGCAAATGATGAGCAAGGGCAGCCTGTGCTTCTGTATCCCCATGACTGCAGAGGCAGACACACCTCCGGCTCTCCTGCTGACTTACCTTCAGTGCTGACACTGAACTCGGACACCTGCAGACTGGCCTCAGACCGCTCGGCCAATCTCTGCCTAAAATGAGACATAAGAGGAATGTGAACATGAAAATCGACGCACAGTGCCAACCAGAGGTTCGCTTGGTTATAGGGCAGTTGGGCATTTGCTAATCTTGACTTTTAGACCTCCCATCCTTGAAAGCTTTGCATAATGACTTGATATCCTAGGAATGACTGGAGAAGCCTTAAGAAGTAAGACGCAGTGGAAAAAGTACAGAATTTGTAGTTGGAAGCCCTGGGTCCAAATCTTGGTGCCTTTACTTGCTTAAGCATAAGGACCACCTCGGGCAAGTCAATGACCCTCTCTGGCCTTCAGGTTCCTTCTTTGTAAGCTGACAGGATGGACTAGATCAATACTTCTTAAACTGTGAGCCTCAACCCCATATGGGGTTTAAGAAGCGATAAATAAGGGCTTCTTAAACTTTTTCCACTTGCCCTGGACTTCTAAGGTCCCTTGCAGCTCTAGACATAGGCCTTTATCAAGCTGTCTCAAATTCATCTAGTCTCATGTGCACGTTACCTGTTCTTTCCATCCAGGCAACCAATGGTCTCCAGGAGCTTTCGATGTTTCCTCTCTCCATCATTGTCCTCCTTCAGACAGAAAAAGATACAAAGAGTTACTACACAGTCCAGAGGGAAGTGATGCTTAAGCCAATATGGGAACAGGGTGTGTATGAGTGAGCCCTCAGTTCTGTGTAATGTTTGTAAGGCATGGGTAAGCAGACAGCCAATAACGTGTAGGTATCTCAATATAAACAAAAAGATCAGCTTTTAACACTGGACGGAGAGAGATCAATGAGTAAGGCTGGTAGGGATTACTGCCAGGCCACCCGTCCAAAGGAAGGACCATGAATCCTCTAACATCCACTGGGATGTTCCATGTCTCTGTCTTAACCTCTGCTTTGGTAGGAAAGGCATCATCATGTAATAACAGGTACCGGCACCCTGATATGTGTCGTAAGTCACATAGTTCCTGGGGGTTTGACTTCCAGCTGTGCTACTTACTACCGATGTGACTTTGGGCAAGTCATCTCCCCTCTGGGACCCCCAGACTCCTCATCTGTCAAATTAGGGTGATGGACTACATGACCTCTAAGGTCCCTTCCAACTCTAAATCCTATGGTCCGAGATGGCCTGTCCGAGGAAAAGAAAACTCCGTATCACCAATACAGTTGTTCTGTGACATTTCCGTTTTCCTGGGAGAAATGATTATTTCAATTATTTGCTTCAAAGTTAAGGATGGTAAGGGATTTGGAAACGACCGTATATGTTAGGGATCAAATAAGCACCTTATAGTCAGATGATCATGGCAGTCTCTGCAGAAACTCAAGTTAAGGGAATGGGGAAATTCTGTGATGAGCAGAAATACTGATCTTGTTGCACTCCCCTGACCTTACCTCAACTTAAGGTTCTTGAGGGCAAGGAAGAATTCTTATACTTGTCTATATTCTATGTAATGCTCAGACCATATTAGGTGCTCCATAAATATTTACTAGTTTGATTTGAGCAGACAGGGAAAAACCCAAATATTTCTTTGCTTGACTGTTTCAGGAATTTATTACTCAACTTTAGGGAGGAATGCAGAGGCCCCTCTGGGGACTGGGTCCATAAAGTGAGTGGGTAACTATCAGTGCCATGATTTCTACAAAGACAAATTGGCTTCACAAGGGCAGAAAGAATAAGGTGCTGTTTGGGAGTTATAAGTGATCATCTCCCCATGGCACCTTTGCACTGGGGTTTTCTTGAGTCTTAATTCGGTAGTGGTCACTTACCTCATCTTCACTAGCACTCAGCGGGTAGTCTTTAAGTAAATCCACTACTTCTTCCTGTTGGCTCAATGCCAGAAGGCTGCTAGAAGGCAACAGAGAAATGTCACTACCTATAACAACCCTCCTTCCTCAAACAAATTCCAGCCCAACAAAACTGTCTCCTAACATGAGCCTGGAAGACTGAATAAAACTTTAGAAATCTGCAAAACCAAACACTTTCTATAAGAAAGGGGCATTAAGTAGGAGTATCATACAATTGTGTGACTACAGTTTTTGGTTTTAGTTCCATCCCTTAGTCCTATACTTCCTAGTCCTTCCAGGGTATCTTCTCAGGCTCTAGGCAAAAGGACAGAAAATTGAGACAAGTGGTCAACATCATTAGGTACATTTGTGGGTAAACCCTAACTATATCAATAGACTGGGAACTCTTCAAGGTCGGAAACCTCTTTTTCCTTTGAAACTTTACACAGCATGCTCTATGAATTGATGTTGCTCAAAATATTTTGTCAAGTGACAGGAATTTCATCACCTATTCCAGGGCAAAGAAAGTAACAGTGATGAAGACAGGTGATTAGGCCCCAACCCATAGTGTCTGGCATAGTAAGGTGCAAAATAATAACAAAGATTTGGCTAAAGATATTTTATATACAGTAACAAAGAATCACTTTTTATAGGAAGCAGTTTACTGTGGCAGAAAAAGGCACTGGATCTGGAATGAGACGACCTGGGCTCAACTGATGCCTTTGCCACTTACAAGCCTTGGGCAAGTCGTTTCACCTCTGTGGGCCTCAGTTTCCTCATTTGTAAAATGAGGGACTTGAACTGAAAGATCTCTAAGATCCCTTCCAGCTCTAAATCCTATGACCTCATGCAAAGTGACATCATATAGACAACTGCAAAATAACATATAGCATATAAAATAAAGGAATTAAACGTTGAAGAGAGTTAATGGGAATAAAGGATTGAGCACAGTCAGGGAGTGCCAGCATAGTGCCTGGAGATAGTAGGTGCTTAATCAATGTTTATTGATGACTGACTGATGGAGGGATGAATAAGTTATTCAACAGAAATTCACTAAGTACCTACGATTTGCAGGGCATTGTTGCGTTCACACTGACAGAGAGGGGAGGGGAGGAATACAAAGTTTAGATGAGACAGAACCCCTGGTCCCACTGAACTTACAGACAAGTATGTGGTCGCGGCAGGAATACAGAAAACGGTAACACACAACGTTTGAAAGTTTAAGTGCCTGAGACAAGTAAAAACAAGCTGCTATATTAGCGAAGGGAAGGGAGAGAATCCTTGCCAAATCAAGAGATCAGAGAAGGCCTTCTGGAAGTGGGGGATGACTGGGCAGTTAGAACAGCACGGTAGAAAGGGAGCAGAGGAAAGGGGCCCCAATGGGCTCAGCTGGGAGGGAAGGGTCCAAACCATGGAAGGGAGGCCAAGACGCAGGTTCGGAACCTGAGGGTGGAACAAGGAAGAGCAATCGTGACCGGAACAAATCGCGGAAAGCGTGGCAGAAAGGCAAGGGGTGCCCCACACTTCACCCCCCGGCCGTCGGAGGTTCCTGCTCCCTCCCCGGAAGGGAAACCCACGCCCCGACCGGGCGCACACTCGGCCCCCTCGACCCCTGCCCCGGGTAGCCTAAGCCCAGGATCTGTCTCACCTCTTTTCAGGAACCTTCCCCTTCATGTCGGCAAGCAGCTGGTATCCTCACGTGGCCCCGGAGTCGGAAGTCCGTCCACAGCTACATCCGGTCTGGGCAGCGGGCGCTTCCGCTTCCGGTCCCGCCTCTCGCTCTCGTCATTTCCGCTCTCCGGGAACGGGCGAAAGTAGGGGCACAGTCAGACCCTCGCGGGGAGTCCTGAGGGTTTGGGGGCTTTGAGGCCCCCCCCATTGCCTCCTGGCCATTGCCTCCGAGTCCCTCCTCTGCCTCTTTTTCTTCTGTCAGGGTTGTTTCGAGCTCCTCCCGGGTCCTGGTTTCCGGCGAGCCGGGGGGCGGGGCCAGCCGAGCTACTTACGCACTTACTGAAGACAGAGTGTCCCTTTTAACTGCCTTTAGGTGTCGGGTCGACGTAGTGACCTACCAGGACCTAGAGCTTGTTAGTGCTTGGGAGAGAGCTCACGGTCTAGGTTGGGATGCAAGGCACACGCCCGCAAGGTGGCCCCAGTGTTGGTGCGGGAACATGTGGTCAGTTTCCTCCTCTGAAGTCGCTTCCAACTCTAGATCTAGGATCCTATGTGGGACCTTGGGCAAGTTCCTTCCCCTCCCTGGGCCTCAGTTTCCTCCTCTTTAAAATGAAGGAGTTGAACTAGATGGCCTCTGAGGTTCCTTTCAGCTCTAGATCTCTGATAACGTGTGTGACCCTAGACAAATCACTTCACATACAGAACTTTTGGCCTTAGTTTCCTAATCTGTAAAATGTCATGGTTGGAATAGATGAGGTCTAAAATTCTTTCCAGGTCAAAACCTATAATCCATGTGTGACCTTGGGCAAGTGACTATACCTTGGACCTCGGTTTCCATATATGTACAATGAGAGAGTTGGACTAGATAGCATCTGAGGTCCATACCTGCTCCAGGGAGGGAGCCTACTATGTGTCCTACATATACATATACTATGTGCCAGGCATTATGCTAAGTACTTTACAAATATTATCTCAAATTTAAACCTCTTTGTAACTCTGGCAATCACTTCAACCCTTCTTGGGCCTCAGTTTTTTCCTCTGTAAAATGAAGGGTTGGATGAGATGACCTTTGAGGTCCCTTGCAGCTTCGGGTCCATATTCCTGTGATCTTATTGGTGGAAGTGAGATTTCCTGGAAACATTTATTAAGCAATGTGAAACTATGCCCTCAAAGTCATTAGATTGTATGTGCACATGGGCACAGCTCTCTGACTCCCTCTATGAGGGCTATACATACTCCCAAATGATCTAACACAGAAGAAAAGGATCCATATATAAAAAACCATTAATATTAGCTCTTTTTGTAGTGGCAAAGATCTGGAAACTAAGGTGGTGCCCATCAATTGGGGAATGGCTGAATGAGCTATGGTATATGAATGTAACAATACTATTGTGCCATAAGAAGTGATTAAAGGGATGGGTTCAGAGAATCCTGGGAAGACTTGTATGAACTGATACTGAGTGAAGTGAGAAGAATGAGGAGAAAAATTTCTACCACATTGTAAAGACAGTTTTTCGAGACTTATAATCTCTGACCAATGTAACAGCCCACCATGATTTCAAAGGACTCATTGAACTATGCTACTTAACTCTTGACAGAGAGGTGATAGACTCAGAGTGCAGAATGAGGCGTAAATTTTTGGACATGAACATCATGGGAATTTGTCTTGCTTTATTATGTATATTTCTTGCAAGGGTTCTGTTTTTCCTTAAAGTGTGTGGGGGATGAGAGGTTGAGAAAAAATGTGTTAATTCAAAGATAAAATGAAAAAGCATGTATTAAGCCCCTTTTGTATGCAGAGCCCTAAACTGGGCATGGGGTGATAAAAGTTAAGTAAGAAGGATATAATTCCTGCCTTCATGTTGTTCACACCAGTGGGATCAAACTAAAATAGAAATGGATGCCTGCCGGTCTCATGTTGACTTAGAAAACCACCAATTAATATTTCTGTTTTATTGTAATTTTTATTTATTTTGTTAAATATTTCCCAATTATATATTTTTTCATTTCTTTTCTTTTTTTTTAGGCAATTTGGATTAATTGACTTGCCAAGGGTCACACAGCTAGTAAGTGTCAAGTGTTTGGTCTGAGGCTGGATTTTTTGAACTTGGGTCCTCCTGACTTCAGGGCCAGTGCTCTATCTACTGCGCCACCTAGCTGCCCCCACCCCAATTACATTTTAATCTAGTTTGGGAAATGGTGGGGAAGACCTGAGGTTTGCATGTTTGACACCTCTGTAATAAGGAGGACTAACTCTAATAAGGAGACTCTAATGCATATAGCTATGATACATAACATTCCAAAATAAGTGTATTATAGAGAGGGAAAAAAAGTTTTAAGTGAAGAAAAAATATTGGGGCACATGGGAAATAGGGAAGACTTCTAATTTAGAGAGGAAGGGACAGGGTATTTCAGGAGGCAAGTAAGTGACAGAAGTGTGGAAGTTGGATTGAGCTCAGTGTGTTCATGAAACAGATAGGCCCTTAGTGCAGAAAGGGACCTCAGAGGCCATCTAGTTCACCGTTCATATTTTTTAGACGAAGAAACTAGGGCCCAGACTTGTCCAAGGCTCACAGTCTGCCACTTAGTGGCAAAATCGGGACTCAGACACAGCTCAGGTTCATTTTGCAGAGGGGGAAACAAGTTCAAGGAGGTTAATGATTAGCCCAAAGTCTTCTTGGGCAGTTTAGCATAGTAGCTAGAGTCCTGGACTTAGACTTAGGAAGATTGGGTTTGAATCCTACTTTAATTGCTTACTAGATATGCTTACTAGATACTAGATACCCAAGTAATTTCACTTTGAAGCCTCAGTTTCCTCAGTTTGTGAGAATGGATATAAAATATTTTTCAAACTCTTAGATCAACATGCAGCTGTTGTTTTGAACTCAGGTCCAGTGCCCTTTTTTCTAAGTCAGTTGACCAGTGACCAGAATTACAGACAGCATACTGAAAACAAAGTTTAGATAAAAAGGGTAGACCCTGTTTGCAGAGGGGCTTGGATTCCAGGTTGAATGAGGAATTTGGATTTGCATTGATAGGCAGCAGACACATGAGTATAATGAACCAGGGTGTTTTCCTGAACCCTCACAGAACCAAAATTACTTTATTTTGGGGGGGAAAAGTAGGAGAAGGTCCTGTAGCATGAACTAATATGAATCAGACCAAATCTCCATGTGTGTATGTGTATTGAACATTTAGGTGCCTACTGTGCATATGCAAGGTACAGTACTACTGTACTCAGTGCTTGGAATGCAAAGATAAAATCAAAACATTACCAGCCCTAGGAGAGCTTGCTTTCTATTTGGAGGAAAACAAGAAGTTCACAGATAGTAAAAACAAAGTGACCTGAAGAGGGAGAATACAGTAACACCTGAAGAGATCAATGAGTAAATCAAGAAGTTGGCTCCTTTTAATCAAGCTACTGATCACATCTCTCCTTTTATTTTGCCCACTTGTGTTTCAGTGTGCAAAAATGGCACCATCAGAAGGAATCTGGAAGGCATTCCTAAAAATGATGAAGTCGGGCGCCTAGATGGTGCAGTGGATAGAGCACCGGCCCTGTATTCAGGAAGACCTGAGTTGAAATCTGGCCTCAGACACTTGATACTTCCTAGCTGTGTGACCCTGGGCAAGTCACTTCACCCCACTGCCTAGCAAAAAAAAAAAATGATGAAGCCATGGGCAAAGAGCCAACGACTATAAGGGCAAAGATTCTTTGTTCTCCTTGCTGTCAGACAAAGGCAAAGACTTCAGAAGACAAAGGCGGAAATGGGAAGTGAACAACTGGTTAAGAAAATGGCATCTATCATTGGGAGTTGTATTCCTGGACCATAGCTTAGTATACAGGAACAATGGATATCAGAGATAACATGCACCTAACAAAAGTTAGTAGTGTATTTACCTGGAACCTTGAAATTTTAAAAAGGGCACCAGGGTGCCAGTCACCCAAGTTCACCACCCCTAAGTCATCCTTTCCTCTTCACTGTCCTTGACAACCATTCGCTTCCATTCAGTCATTTGCTAAGTCTTGTCAGTTTCTATCCATCTCTCCTGTCCATTTTGTACTTCTTTCCTCTTATACAACTATGACTGGGGTTGTTGTTATCAGGCTATCATCACTGCCAGGACTATTGCAATAACTTCCTCATTTTGTTACCTGAATCCCCTCTCCACAATCTATATTTCAATACAGCTGCCAGTATAATATGAAAAAAAAATCCCACAGCATATATCTTAGCAATACAATGATTTAAAAATACAGATGGTATCTACTTTAGACTCAACGTGCTTAGCACATTATTTTTTCCAATATATACTACCCATTCATTACCAATAAAAGTAATATCAATAGGGGCAGCTAGGTGGTGCAGTGGATAGAGCACCGGCCCTAGATTCAGGAGGACCTGAGTTCGAATCTGGCCTCAGACACATAACACTTACTAGCTGTGTGACCCTGGGCGAGTCACTTAACGCCATTGCCTAACCAAAAAAAAAGTAATATCAATAGCAGTCCTACATGATCAAGACAGTGCATTAAAATAGGGTTTTTAGGAGCAAGACAATGCAATGTATTCTCACCATTTGTCTTTGGCAGTGTGGTTCAGTGCCTGAGTTTTAATTCAGAGCAACACCACTATGCAGCCAAAATTATATTGAAATAAATTGGTATATTATAGCATAAATATCTTTTTTTAAAAATTATAACTGTCCTTCCTTCTACTCCTACCTTGAACAAATTTTTTAAAGCTCCCCCAAATAAGGCTAATACCTAGCTTCAGTCAGGCAGAACAAATTCTCAATTTGGCCATATCTAAAAACATACGTCTTTTTCTGCATTTTATGTACATCAACTCTGTCAGGTGGTAAGCGCTATGTGTCATCTTCATTCTTTGGCTTGTCATTGCATGATCAGAGTTCTAAAGTCTTTCAATGTTGTTATCATTGTATAAAGGGTTCTTCTAGGGCTGCTCACTTTAATCTGCATCAGTTGGTAGAGGTCTTCTCTATTTCCTCTGAAACTGTCCACTTCCCCATTTCTATTTTTCCAGTACTTACCTCA